GCCGGAACCTCCTGAATGGCTTTAATATCTAAAAGATGCTGGATGGTTACCCTCATCAGGAGGTGCCTCTGGGGGTTATCAGAAACCAGGCATCTAACAAAGAATTTGGGTGGAGGTGAGATAAACTCCATAGCCAGTGGAATGGCATGGCACAGTGGCGTAGTGGCATGGCAGTGGCGGAATGCAGGGCTGCAATTGGTGCATCAAGGGTTGGCCAAGGAGTGATTTGTCCAGCTGCTCGGCAATACTATAGAATCTCCTATCATTGGCGGAGGGAGCGGGCCCAGATTCATAGACAACCACTGCCTCTGCACTGTGTCCACAAAAAGTTGAGGAGCCGGAATGACATCGGCTTTTAACTTGTGTTCTTTAAACAAGATGCTGGCTGTGGCAGGTTGTGGTGGGGCAGTGGAGACCTCTGTCTCAGCTCCTAGGTCAGAAGCTGCCTTAGCCTTACCCAGCAGCGGCTTGAACAGTGGGGGAGAAATAGGCTGGTGTAGATGGGCTTGTCCGGGGTTGCCCCTTCTTCATCTGAGAGGTCCGCATCCCCTCCTCAGAAGCCGGTGATGGGCTGCGCTGTGGCTTGACAGGAAAGAGATATTCGACCCCCTCCTGAGACAGACAGGCGGGGCGGCATGGGCTGCGACCACTGGTGGGGCCTGGGTTTTCTGTTGGATCCCCCGCTGCAATCCCTTGTTGGATAGCCTCAGCAATAAAGTCCTGGATGTCCAATGAGGGAGGCATCACGATCATGGGAGGCAAGCTCGACATAGTTGTGACATGTCCCTGCTGCCGAAGGCCAGCTGAGGTCGGAGTGAAAGTGGCTTCGGGGGTCCTATTCAGTGTGCGTGGACCTACATCACCCCAGAGCCCAGATGTACTAATGGGCAGCATAGGGTGAAGGGCCCTTGTGTGACATCCAGTTGCAGCGGGGTCAATGGGTGGGGTGAGGATGACAGACCTCCCCCTTTTTTGTGCGCCTAGGTGAATGCCCCTGCTTCTCCAGGTGTTTGGTCTTAGACGTGGCCTTGGCTGCCTTCTTAGATTTAGACCCCCTGAGATGAGGAAGAGGAGGTCTTATTACTAGTTTTATCCCTGTGTAGGTAAAGGCCTGGCTGGTGAGTGAGGGACCTGACCTAACAGAAGTCCCTGGGTAGGGTCTGCCATAGCCTTGAGGGCCTCAGTAGAGCTCTCTGTAGCAGTACTGTCTGCCATTGCACTCTGACTGCAATAACACAAATCAAAATGGCGCCCATTAGCAAAGCTGCGCCCAATACAAAATAGTGGCCATGCCTCGTTTGCGCTTTCTAACAGTTCCCAACTCTGAAATATCCAGATCTCCCACTGAAGAGCATCGAGCCTTCTGTTGACGTCCCTGCCTTTAGCACGGTCTCAGCCAGCCAAAAGAAGTGTCAGCCGGCTTCGCTTTGGCGCTGTGATCCTTGCCACAACATGGGCAGCCTCGCCAAGGGACACATTGTTGAATCCGACAAGTGTCACAATTTGCGCCAGCGCGCGACAAGTCTCACAGTTGGAGCTGCGAGGCAGGCCCCCAGTTAATTTAAAGTGCCTCAGGCCTCGGAGAGGCCACAGGTCAAAGTACTATCCTTTATAGAGACACAGGCAAGGCCTGTGGGACAGATCCCAGCAGCCAGTGGATGGCAATAGTAAGCCCACTAATATAATGGCTGTAGCCACAAACTCACATAAAATGAAGTTCAGCAGATTAGAATAATTCACCAATTTTTGAAGGAAGGAATGGATAGCACGAGTGTCCCAGAGTGGACTGAGTCGAAAAGCTGGGTGGGAACACTCACAAGGCGGGTTATACAGGGCAATAATTAATTAGTAATCAAACGCAGTCCAATTAAGCACGGACTGTTTTAACCCATTCATGGATGCTATCTCCATCCTTATTGAGAAGTCTTGGATTTTTCGGCCCATTATGCTATTAGGCTCGAAATTCTTAGTTTGGATAGATTAGAACTACAACACTTGCTGTCAGATTTAGGGATTGTGTACAAATTGTGCATACTAACACTTTACCTGTAAATGCATTTTTTTATCTTCAATCACTATGTAAGACATGCAAACTGCTTTGAACTTTGATTTTTGCAACAGAATTGTCTAGTTCTACCTGATTGTATCAGCTATTAATTTTCAGATTTAATTCCAACTTCTGTGCACCTTTCCATATTTTAAGAGGTCCCCAAGGGAGCATATCTAAGTGTAGTGGCATGATTATCATCCCTGTCATATTTTGATTTTATTTTGAATTTGTAATTTTTACTTGACGAATAAAGTCTTGCAATTCCTGGGATTGGGATTTGCAAATGGTATTAGCCTTCCTTTTGCTAGGTTACAACTCTCAACCTAGTATAGATAAAATAAAATAGAATAAGAGAGTTGGAAGGGATCTTGGAGGTCTTCTAGTCCAACCCCCTGCCTAGGCAGGAAACTATATACCACTTCAGACAAATGGTTATCTAATCTCTTCTTAAAAACTTCCAGTGTTGGAGCACTTACAACTTCTGGAGGCAAGTTGTTCACTGTCAGGAAATTTCTCCTTAGTTTTAGGTTGCTTCTCTCCTTGATTAATTTCTACCCATTGCTTCTTGTTCTACCCTCAGGTGCTTTGGACAATAGTGTGACTCCCTCTTCTTTGTGACAACCCCTGAGATACTGGAACCATTATGTCTCCCCTAGTCCTTCTTTTCATTAAACTAGACCATACCCAGTTCCTGCAACTGTTCCTCATGTTTTAGCCTCCAGTCCCCTAATCATCTGTTGCTCTTCTCTGCACTATTTCTAGAGTCTCCACATCTTTTTTACATTGTGGCGACCAAAACTGAAGGCCGTATTCCAAGTGTGGCCTTATCAAGGCATTATAAAGTGGTATTAATACTTCACGTGATCTTGATTTTATCCGTTTATGCAGCCTAGAACTTTGTTGGCTTTTTTGGCAGTTGTTGCACACTGCTGGCTCATATTTAAATGGCTGCCCATTAGGATTCCAAAATCCCTCTCAGTTCCTACTATTGAACGAGGTACTATATTGTACCTGTGCATTTTGTTTTTCTCACCTAAATGTAGAACCTTAGTTGATATGCTAGGCAGGAATGAAATTCACATTAGAAAGCAGGTCATGTTTCCTTTGATAGGAAACTGGTACTGTATATCATTAGGAGTTAAGTTTAGTGATAACTAATGTAATGGTATGTAGAAATGATCTTGGGAGACAGGAGGAAGCCGCTGTCAAAGGGTAGCTGCTGAGCCTGTGGAGTAAATGGGGGCATGGAAGGAACTTTGGAAGTCTTCTGGTACATCCCCTTCTCAAGCACTGAGATCTCCTCTAGGGAGATGTATTTTCTGACTTTGAAGACTCTTATTAATGTAATTTTACAATAAAGATACAGCTAGTAATTTTGGGTGTGCTTGTCTAGATTACCCTACAAGACTGACATTAAAATAATAAAATAAGAACAAATGAAGCACTAAATAACAGAGGACAAAAGGCAGTCCCACAGAAATTGGTGCAGCTGGGAAGCTAATTTTAGCTTACAGAGCAGTTGGACGAAAATTCAATTCTCCATTTTTAAAAGCTATCTGAAACTTGCCAATTCTTTTGTCTTTAGCATGCCTATGCAGAGAACTCAGAAAATTGAAACAGAATTTAATCTTGCCTTCAAAAATCAATGCTTTCAGCATGTGACATTATTGTATTCAGAGGTTGCCAATTGTCAGGAAGTTTTGCCACCTCCTGAAATTATATGAGATTTTGGATAGGAACACAAAATTGTGATATTAAGTGATTGCCTGAGATTTTAAACGTTTTTAAACATTAAAAAAGTATTTGTACTACTAGATAATGCAAGATATGTACTCTAAATCAGTTTGAAAGCTACAATAGTTTTTGTTTGTCAGTACACTGACCAAACATCACAATCACAATACAACACTAAAATGTAAGGAAGTAGAGTGCTGTTTAACAGAGTCAGGAAACTCCCAATTTGTGGTTGTAGAAATCTAAAGGGGTAAAAAATACTTCTACAATTGTTCCCCTTAAAAATATTTTAGATTAGCATCTTTTCAAAAGAAAAATGAAATAGAGCAGTTCTTCCTGAACATGATATATTCCTGCCTCCTGGTGGACTGCCTTTTTCAGAATAAAAAACTAATTAACATTTTTCTAGTTAACATCAATAACATGAGATTTTGAGTGCCCTACTTGTTCAAGACAACAGAACAAATCAACAGAACTTTAGAATGGGAAAACTCCTCTTTGCCCTATGAATCTACTCGAGATCCACAAAGAACAGAACAGCACAAAGAAGTTGACCCATAAACACTGTCTTTATTGAAACACCAGAATTCAGTGTATTAAAGTCTATTTTAACTACATTAATATATTTCCATAACTTATATAAATTATTATTTCTTACTAATCTGTTATACTGTTGCATTATCACCCAACTAGATGCACTTTTAATTGTATAAATCAACCACTTTCGATTTTCGTAAAGCAAACATGATTTATGGGATAAGGTTATACATAATACATCTTATGCTCTTAAAATAAGAAAGTGATTGTAGATTAGTAAACAGTGCTAAAATAAGTTTGTTTGTTTGTTTGTTTGTTTGTTTTACAAAAATAGCTTTTTTTCTTTTCTGGCTTTAAAACTTTTGGAAATATTACATCTTCTTTGAGGTCTCTATCAAGAGAAATCATTTTATAGAGTGTTTTCATTTTACAGTGTGTTATCAAGAAGACAAAAAGGTAAGAACAGATTTACAAGCAAATGAGGAGGCACACATAAATAAGCAGGATTCTGTTTTTGAGGCAGTTGCATCTTTGAATGAATTTAAGTCAATACATCAGTAGTGGCACAACTGGTTTGCAAGTGGGCCATTTTTCCGCATGACCTAAATTTCTAAACAGACTTTAGGAATGTATGAAGACTTCAACAACAGTTATATGTTGGAAAAAAACCCCAAATTTATTTTGTAGTAGCAATAGTTTCTTTTTTATTTTTTAATATACTTTAGGAAACAATATACAAAGCTGAGCTTTCCCACCATTTTCAAACAGTGAGACACTTCAATTACACAAAGTCAGCGTTTTGTGATGGCTAAGAACAGCAGTCAGCACCAGACTTGAACAGTTACCTACAACACAAACATCCTTTCAAATGAAAAGTCATAATAGCAAGACAGATAAAAACCAGGAGTTAACATATGACAACTGTTGGGAGGTGTCACTGATCCTTGTTGAATGTCATTAAATATTTTATACACAATTACAATTTTTTTAAAACAAAACTTCCCATGAGGACTTATTTTTAATTAATAAAAAAGTATTCAACAAGAATAGCTTTGATGAAGAATCCCAAACAGTCTAAATTTTAATGTTATCGACAAAGGAAAAGAGAACCAGTGGTTTTTTGTTTGTTTGTTTGTTTGAAAACATGTTTATTACAACAGATACAATTCACATCTGACTAGCTTTTTCCTTCTTTCCCTCCCACAACCATGTTGACATGTTCATTGGGCTATTTCCTTATAATCTGAGAAAGGGATGTACTTTCAAACACATATGCCCAGTAGTAGTATCAGTCCATTCTTTCAGGGTACAAATGGAAATACATTTCAATAATTTATACAAACAAGTGGGTTATGCTCAATCACTGCAATTTTAAGCTATTGTACACAGGAATGAAATGTTTATAGAAAAATGTCATAGCAACAGTGCCTTATGAAAGGAAAAAATTAGAAGAATTTTTTTTAAAAAAACCAATAAAATCAGATCTAGGAATTTAAAAGAAAAATGAACACAAAATTAAAAACACTGCTCTGTAAAACAGAAATGGAAAAGCACTGCTGTTGATTAGGTGCAAGTGTGGAAACAGTTGTATCATGATATTTTGTACATTACCCTAACTGTTTCAAACTGTTGCAGCTTTGAGACACAGATCACCTGGCGCTTGCATTGTATTTCAGGAAATGCAAGATTTTCTGAACGATAAATTAAAAAAAAAAAAAAAAAAGAGAGAGAGCTAATTTTGCAGACAGGTTTACATGTAAAAGGCTAGGTATTTAACCATCTTAGCATTGATTACTTTTGGATGTCTAAGCTCCGATACACATGGCTTCCCATGGCTTCACTCTACAAAACATATTTACAACATGAAGAATACATCTACAAGAAATCTACATTTCAAGGGTTTTACAAATTATTCTTGTATTTTTCCCCCGAATGACTTCCTTCCTTTCCCCTTTCCCATGTTATTTTGTATTGCCCAACTCAACAGTCCAAAGTCTACTCAAAAAGTTAAGACTGGGCAACTAGTTTTACAGTCTTGTACTTAAACCCCATGTGCAATTATTCAATATTTCACACCATGAAGGAATTCTGATTCTTTAGTTTTTCAAGTTCTTTAATTTGTTGTCTCAAAAAGAGTATCCTATAAAAGAAAATAATATAATTAGCATCTAAGATACCAAACTGACTCTTCAGTAAGAAGTTATACTGTGATAAACACAACTAATTTATATGATTTTTAAAACTTTTTTTAAAAAGGATAAAATTCTTGGGCCTGGAAATGGTTGACCTACCTTAATGGGACACATAATGGACTAAATTATTGTTCAAGATCCGGAGCACACAAGGGTACCTTCAGTAGTTGAATGGCTGTGGAGGAAGGTAATTATGCCTGTTTCAGTCAGCATCATCCTGGTGTTAAATTCTAACAGTTCCTAGCCCTTGACTGTGCACTAGGGAATCCTCCTACATTTATATAAAAGTTGTACAAACAAATATAACCGAAAATTTAGAAAATCAGAAAAATGCACCCAAAATGAATAATTACCTTTGCTCACGCAAAGTTGCTTGAATTTCACATACTCGAACTAAAGATCTTAAGTTTTTTAATTCAGTACAAGTTTCAGACATATGGACACTTCCTGTATTATGAGCTTCTTCACGCAATCTTGATGCCTAAAAAAAAATAAAAGCAACTATTCAAAAATGTATTTCATTTATTAAACAATTTAGACAAAATCAAATACCTACTATGAAAGCTTACCGTATTAGTGAAGATGTATATATATTTAACAATAATAAGTGCAGTTGAGAGAAAAAACCTAATTTCCTGGCACACATAAAATAACAATTTTCAATTTTACCATATGACAGCAATCTAGACTTCAGGCTATTTTTTTCAATAAGCTTTATGTATCCCTGAAAAAGTTTGCCTTTTTTCAAGCCAAACCACTTAATTTTCAGTCATAACAAAAGCTTTAGTGGAATATGAGTCCTAATAATGGAAAACAATTTCAATATTTTGATTCATTATTGATAATTATATCTATGAACAATTCTCAGAGACTAATAATTACTTAAAAATATTTTGCATTCTGAATTTCTTACAAGAAAAAATGAAAATCTGATCATTCTAACAATTATAAGGTTTCATATATTAAAATAAAAATCTTTCCCTTAAAGTCTGAGTATGTAAACTCTCTTTCCATACTTATTGACATCTGCAATGCTGAATGAGAACTAGAATCCTAAAAATAAATAAGAGCATACAAAGCTCTAAACTGTTGTATTAATTATCCTACTGTATTGTGATACTACTCTGACTTGCTAACTGGGGTAAACGCTGAGACTATTAAAAAACATGATTAACTTACTAACATAAAGCAATTGCAATTATTCTCCTATCACCCAAGATGTTCTTGAATACTAGTAAATTTTTAAAAAATGCAAGTTTGCTGCAATCATTGTTATTTATTACATTTACTTGGCTGACATGAAGTAATCTTAAATTCTCAAACTCTGTAGGCAGAGCCAAGGCAAGCCACTGTAGGAAAGACTGCAAAGCAAGACTCTGAAAAGATAGCATAATATTATTGAAATGAAGCCAGCTGTGTAATTTTGGGCCAGGCATTCTATGTCAGCCCAACCCATCTCAGCAGGCTGTTATGGGGAAAATAGGAAGAAATAACTTCACTTGTACAAAATAAAAGAATGATTCAAATAAAAAGAAAATATGCAGAAAAAGTCAAGTATTATAGTTGGAAATCAAGGATATATAGAATACAAGCAGAAACCTAGCAAATGCCACAATTTCTATTATTCAAACCCCTATAACTAATGGTAGGACAACTATATATGGCAAAGAAAGGTTCAAGCCCAATAACCTACCTTGCCTTTTTCCAACTGAACCACCTTCCTAATTGCTAGAAAGAATAGCGTCTCTCTTTCCATCTCCTTCTGAATTCAAGCAACCCTCTCATGACATAAAATTTTCAATTCTTGTAATTTTGGGATTATCACAGAGAATTTACCCCATTCAATCCAAATTAAAGAATTGACAGTGACAGATCATTGTCCATCCTCTCAGGAATGGAATCTTACCTCCTTCCTGAGTAACTGGTTCTACTGTTAAAATACTCCTAAAGAAGGAAGCTTAGATAGGAAGTTCTTAGGAAATTAGAAACTTGAGATAAAATCACATATATCCCATAATCTATTTTCTTCTAGAAGATAGCAATTTGAGACTTCCAGATGTAGTCCACATATTTCCAAAAGTAAACTTTTCAGAATAGTAAGTACCGTATTTTTCAGAGTATAAGATGCACCTTTCTGCCTCGAAAAAGAGGCTGAAAAACTGGGTGTGTCTTATACACAGAATGCAACATTTTTTGCCTCCCAAAGCCCCACCCCCTTCACAAAAATTGCCGTGTCTAGCCTTATGGAGGCTTTTAGAGAGCTCCTGGGGGCTGGGGAGGACAGAAATGAGCAAAAAACAGCCCGTTCTCCCCCCCACAGCAGCACTCTATAAGCTTCCTAAATGCTATGCATGCAATTTTTGTGATAAAAAGCAGGCCCGTTTTTGCGAAAAACGAGTCATTTTTGCTTATCCCCCCGAGGAGCACTCTGCAAGCCCCCTAAAGGCTATTCATTCCTTTTTTTTAAAAGAACGGACCTGTTTTTGCGAAAAATGGACCATTTTTGAAAGGTTTGTAGAGTGCAAAAGCTTTTTTTTTCCTTTCCGAAAGCTCTTTAGAGTGATTGATGAGAATTACATTGATCAAGTGCTGTGCCAGCAGAAACAAAGTCTTAGGTGATGCAGATTGTCAGCGATTTCCTTCTCCAGCACATGAATAAATATACCTGGAAACATCTACCTACCTACCTACCTACACACACACTCTCTCTCTCTTTCCCTACCTACCTACCTTATTTCTTTCTCTCTCCCTCTATCTACCTACTCTCTTTCTCCCTACCTATCTACTGTATTTCTCTCTCTCTCTCTCTCTCCTATATTTCTCTCTCCCTCTACCCATCTACCTACCTACTCTCTCTCTCCCTACCTACTTACTGTATTTCTCTCTCTCTCTCTCTCTCTCTCTCTCTCTCTCTCTCTCTCTCTCTCTCTCCCTCCCTCCCTCCCTCCCTCCCTCTCTATCCCTCTATCTACCTACCTACTTTTTTTTTTTAAAGCCTCTTCAAAACCTTGGTGCATCTTATACTCCGGTGCATTTTATACTCCGAAAAATACGGTAATTTGCTATGATTCAGGAATGTTCTGGTTCCATGGTATATTAATCTCAGAACTTGTAAATCAATGTTTCCTGAAATATTCTGGGAGATTTATACACATCTAAGTAAAAAGCACAATTGTAAATAATTCTAGCTGAAAGAAAAAGAAGAAAAAACAGGAAAAGAATGGGGTTTATTGAAAAACTTAAAAGCTTACTAAACATCTAAAAACAAAGCAAGTTAATATTCATGCAATAAGGAAAAGGAGGTTTCATCAGGTCAGCAAAAAAGAGCACATGAAAATAGCTCAGAATTATAAAGATGGCATCTGACTAAAGCTTAAAATGAAAGAAAACTTGGCTAACTTTTCTAACAATAGTATTAAAACTTCCTCAGGTACATTTGAAATAAATGTAAGAATCATATATTAACTGCTCAAATGTGAATGCAAAATGCAGAGATAGGAAAGAAAAGGGAGAATTATTCAAGTTATCACCAGAGGAAGAGCAGACCAATTCAGGAGACGTATTTCAATGTGGGACTTTTAGTACAAGTGTTGGTAAATGTCACAATCCTGCTCAGTGTTTGAGAAATGCTAAAAATAAATGATTATGATTCAGCCGATAATACTTATACTAAGTTATGAAGTATACTGACTGTGTTTGTTTGTTTGTTTGTTTGTTTGTTGTTATTTATTTATTTATTATCAAAATTTATATGCCGCCCAATCCCGAAGAACTCCGGGCGGCTTACAAAAAAGAAGAAAAAAAAGAGAGAAAAAAGACAGTTTAAAATCACAAAACCACATGCATTCATTCTAATCGGGGCTGGACCTCAACAATGAGGCCAACAGCCCCAGGCCTGCCAGAACAGCCAAGTTTTTACAGCTTTCCTGAAGGCCATGAGAGTGGGTTGGTCTGGATCCCTGGGGGTAGTTGATTTCAAAGAATCGGAGCAGCCACAGAGAAGGCTCTCCTCTGGGGGCCCGCCAGCCGACACTGTCTGGCTGACGACATCTGAAGGAGGCCCAATCTGTGGGATCTTACTGGCCTCTGGGAGGTATGTGGCAGTAGGCAGTCTCGAAGGTATGCTGGCCCTGAGCCATGTAGGGCTTTAAAGGTAATAACCAACACCTTGAATTGCGTCTGGAGACCAATTGGTAGCTAGTGCAGCTCGCGGAGGACAGGTGTAACGTGGGTGTACCTCGGTACACCCAATATCGTTCGCGCAGCTGCATTCTGGACTAGCTAGTCTCCGAACGCTTTTCAAGGGTAGCCCCATGTAGAGCGCATTGCAATAATCCAGCCTTGAGGTGACAAGGGTGTGAGTAACCACTTGAAGTGCCTCCCGATCCAAATAGGGCCGCAATTGGTGCACCAGAAGAACCTGGGCAAAGGCCCCCCTGGTCACAGCCGATAAATGATGTTCCAGTTTCAGCTGCGAATCCAGGAGGACCCCCAAATTGCGGGCCCTCTCGCAGGGGTGTAAATTTTCACCCACCGAGGTTCAGGATGGACTGTCTAAACTGTCCTTCAGGGGCAGCATCCACAGCTACTCAGTCTTATCGGGATGGAGCACAAGTTTGTTCACCCCCCCATCCAGATCCTAACAGCCTCCAGGCATCGGCACATCACGTCCACCGCTACACTGAGCTGGCATGGGGCAGAAAGATACAGTTGAGTATCATCTGCATATTGGTGGTACTTTACCACGTGCTGTCGCATGATCTCACCCAGCGGCTTCTTGTAGATGTTAAATAGGAAGGAGGACAAGACCGAACCCTGTGGCACACCACATTTGAGGGGCCTAGGGGTCGACCTTTGCCCCCCGACCAACACCGACTGTGGCCTGCCAGAGAGGTAAGAGGAGAACCACCGTAAAACAGTGCCTCTCACTCCCACCTCCTCCAGACGTCGCAGAAGAATACCATGGTCGATGGTATCGAAGGCCGCTGAGAGGTCAAGAAGCACCAGGATAGAGGAATGTTCTCTATCCCTGGCCCGCCAGAGATCATCAGTCAGGGCAACCAAAGCAGTTTCCGTGCTGTACCCAGGCCTGAAACCAGACTGAAAGGAGTCTAGATAATCCGTTTTATTCAAGGTCCATCGGAGTTGAAGCGCCACCACCTTCTCAACAAACTTCCCCAAAAAAGAAAGGTTGGAGACAGGACGATAGTTTTTCAAAATAGCAGGGTCCAGGGAAGGCTTCTTGAGGAGGAGTCTTACCACTGTTTCCTTTAATGGTTGCGGGAAAGACCCCTCCTGCAAAGATGTGTTAGTAATCGTCTGGAGCCAGCCTCGTGTCACCTATCTGCTGGTCGAAACCAGCCAGGAGGGGCACGGGTCCAGTAAACAGGTGGAGGCACTCATTGCTCCCATGGCCTTGTCCACTTCCTCAGGGGTGACAAATTCGAACTCATCCCAGAAAATCCAATTAAGACTAACCCTTGGCATCCCAGCTGGTACTGCCCAAGCAGAGTCCAGGTCTGTCCGAATCTGAGTGATTTTATCCGACAGAAACTGAACGAACTCCTCAGCTCTTTTCTGCAGGGATTACCCCGCCTCCTCATCTTTCAGGGGGAGCGGGTCACCCTAAACAGGGCGGCTGGGCAAGTTTCCGCGGATGCAATAAGAGCGGAAAAATGTGTACGTTTCGCCACCCGTATCGCCACTAGGTAAGTCCTGATAAAGGCTCTTAATAGTGATCGATCAGATTCAGAGTTACTAGCCCTCCAGCGTCGCTCTAGGTGTTCTCATTTCACTGAATCAAAATATTGTTTGTTTCAATAATCATAGCTCAGGGTTAAAATGAGGGATTATTGGTGCTCTCAGAGCTTCATTCTTTTCTTGCATTCATTTTATTACCCAAATCAAATCACATAATCAGTTATTAGTTTGTTTCTGTCTTATGAAAGTTCAGCCAATTTTTATTTAATTAATCTTAATTAACTAAATTATACCATGTTTCCCCAAAAATAAGGCAGGGTCTTCTTTTCTTTTGATTCCCGAAATAAGCACTTGGCCTTATTTTCGGGAAAGTCTTATAATTTTTGAGGTGAGGAGGCAGAGAGTGTGGTAACCTCATGGTTGCTGCTGTGTTGCAATATTTTCGGGGGAGGGCTTATTTTGGGGAAAATAGGGTATTATCTGGCATTACATTTGAACCCCGCAATTATATGATTCTATTATCAGTGGCCCAATGTGGGACTAAAGATTAATCAGATATTATTTTATATCTGGATTATTCAGAGCTACTATGCTGATATATGCTGCTCATTCAATTCTGCCTGGTTTTCTCCTGCCAATGTAAAAGATTCCCAAACCATACATGGAGCGCTTAGTATTAAGTCCATGTGAAATTACAGATTGGTTGTCAAGATCAATCTTTCCCACAGCTTCACAATGTGAAGCAGAGGTCCATCGACAGAAGAATTAAAAATATACTAGAATGTTACCTGGATCATATTCATAGGACTCTTACCACTATTTCCCTTTTAAAGAACTAGAATATTTTTCAAGCTACAAAGTTAATTAAATTTCCAGGTCATACAACTGCTGAGAATATATCAAGTAAATTATGTAGCTACTGTGTTTCTCCAAAAAGATAACCCACCTTGAAAAGAAGCCCTATCATGTTTTTAAGAGCATGTGATCAAATTAAGCCCCGCCCAAAAATTAGCCATAATTAAGATCCCACCCACCCGTGGTGCAGGCAGCGGGGAGAGGCACACAGGTAAAAAGTAAGCTAGGATGAGGATGGGGAGGTGGAACTGCCCTACTTATCAGGTCTTACACACCCTGACACCTGTCTCGCCTTCTTCTGCGGACGCTTCTTTTACGGCCACATCGCCCTGGCCTCCATTTTACTTTCAGATACCTGCCAGAAGGCTCCGCACGAATCCAGAGCTCTGTTATAAGGTGCAGATGCCTTCCAGCAGGCATCTGAAGGGAAACAGAGGCCAAGGCAAGTGGCTGGAGAAGTGGGCCAGCAGCGGGCTCCTGCTGGGCGGGGCTGTCATTTGCACTGCTGCGAGGTGAGTCAAATTATAGAACCCTCCAAATTATAGAATCCTCCAAAGAAAGCCTCGCCATTTTTTTCAGGGCTCAAAAATAAGACCAGGCCTTCTTTTTGGAGAAACACAGTATTTTAACATATATATTAAATTATATATGTAATATATAAGTAAATATAACATCCATGTAAACATCTATGTAAAAGAGCTAGACTGTAGAACAGCTACAGCCTGTTTCTTCCGACTCAAAGACATGATTCTAATCTCTCTCCATTTCCAAAATGGAGAGTGGAAAGTTATGAAAAATAATAACGAAGAATGCTTACTAAATATTATCAGATACATGCTGTCCTTGATTTACAACAGTTCATTTAGTACCGTTCAAAGTTACTATGGCATTGAAAAAAAGTAATGTATTACCATTTTTTGTACTTATGACTATTGCAGCAGCCCCATGGTCATGTGATCATTTTTGTGACCTTCTGACAACCACAGTCAATAGGGAAGCCAGATTCACTCAACAACCATGTTAGTAACTTAACTTTGGTGATTCACTTAACAACCATAGCAAGAAAGATCTTAAAATGGAGCAATGCTCATTTAATTGTTTTGCTTAATAACAGAAATTTTGGTCTCAATTGTGGTCATTAAGTCGAGGACTAGTTGTACACAAAAGTTGTAATAGAACTATAACATACAATATAATAGTTGTAATAGAACTATAACATACAAGAAAACCACTGAATGTATAATCACCTGCTTTTCTGCGTGATCTGCAGGCCATCCTTGGACATGCTTTATAAGATTTTCATTGAAATGGCCTGCTAGTGTAGGAGTTAATGAACACGTAGGCCGTCCAGATGCATTCTGTGGTGCTGCTGTGTTTGAAGCACTTGTATTGGAGGTATGATTTGGACCAGGAGATGGACTACTGTAAGAAAAAGAATGAAACGTGTGTCACACTCACATTAATTAATATAATTTTCAAATCTTGTATCTATAATATATTTCTTTTTCCTACTACTTTGCCAGCCATTAATGGATGTGGGTATATATATACATATATATATTACACAAATGTTTTCTTAAATTTATGCAGGTTATACAGAATTATTTCAATAATCACTGACATAATTTTAGTAATAAAATGTTGATTTTAAACACTGACTATCCTTAAAGAATCACCAAAGGAATAAAAGAATTATTAATTACATGTGTATTTTATACCCTGCTTTCCATAGCTCTTTAATTTGAATAGTTGAAGAACATTTTTTTATTTATTCCATTTAGAGCTTTTGAACTGCAGTGGCATAGCAATAGCAATCACAATAGTGCTTAGACTTATATACCACTCCATAGTGCTTTATTGCCCGCTCTAAGAAGTTTAGTCAGCATATTGCTCCCAACAATCAGGTCCTCATTTTATTGACCCTGGAAGGATGGAAACTCTTGGCAGTGAGCAGAGTTAGTCTGCAATATTGCATTCGAACCACTGCGCCACCATGACATAGAAATATTGATAATAAAAGAAACAGAAACAGCAGACAAAATAAAGCACTTTTAGAAAACTATCTGGGCTTACATATAAGAAAAAAATATTACCATCTATCAAACTGCTGTTTCTCTGAAGAAGAAATATTTACTATTGTTAACTCCAGCATCCACCTTCTTCCTCTGAGAAAGAGTTGGGAGAAGGTAAAACATGTGGCTTGGTAAGATGTGTAGTTTCTTTGAAATGTTTTGAAGTCAAATTGTTTCTTAGGTTGTACAACGAAGTTTGTGTTCATGAGTTACTTTAGACCCAGGTTATATAGAATGAAGATGATGGGAATTCTTTTCATAACAATAAAGGAAAATTGTGTGGGGGGGTGGGGAAATCTTACTCATGTTTTAAAAATCTTAGATAGCTCTCTGATATTTCCAACTATGTAGTTGTTCAACTAAAAGTGGAATCTGAACATTTATTCTATTGTTTGAAACAAATGAAATGGTTCTTGTACATTTTATAATTCAGTATATTTTCATTCTGTATTTTACAATTAGCAAAATTTGAGCTCAAAGCTGAAAATGTTTCTAATTCAAAAGAATACAAACTGCACAAAGCACTTCGACAAATTCCATTGTTTAGGTCCAGCTGAATGGATCCCCTAGTGTTCTTCAAGCCAACTTGTGAGATGTAATAAAAATATTAACAGATATTGGTGGTTAAATTGCAAATTTAGCAATATAATTAGTAGTCTGCAGGAGATATATTTCTTCTAAGAAACATAATGTTCCAATAAGAAAATATAACATCTACAATTATTATTTTTGCTGTGCATAATCCAAACTTTAATTTGAAAACACTGAGTAAGATATGTAGATGAGAAAGCATGCCATCAAAATGAGTATAAAATATAATCAACATTTTTATTAGAAAGCATGATGAAATCAATTATTTCACTAATGTAAATTTACCTTGAACGCTGAAGACTTCGAGGAGAAGCAGGTTCATGACCTTGTGGTTTGTCAGCCATCACAGGCTGCTGAGACGTTGACTGTAAAACTGGTCCTTGCTTAATACCTGAAGTAGTAACCTAAAGTTCAAAACTTGATTAGATATCCACATTTGTTCAAAAGCATGTCCTTTATCAATACTTATGCCAGAATAAAATAAACCCTACTGTTATATGATACTGGACTATTAGCTAAATCAATAACAAAATAAAACTTGTCTTGAGATGTTGTGGATCATTCTGATAAAACTAACCTAATGCAGCAAGAGTTCTTTAACAGTATTACTTCTTGGTTTGCTATAGCAAGGCATCTATTTAGCTACCTGTGGCAATATACTGGGAATATAAGAGCCTTAAGAATTAAATTGCCAATTAAGACCTATTTGATCTGAATAATTACCGATTCAATATCAGCTACAGAAGCTACATGAACACAAAAAGCAGTTAGCTGGAGTCTTTGCTTTAACCATTATTAAAGCAGTGG